TGGCAGTATCAAATCAGGAATTTATTCTGTGAGATCAAGACAGTAAGTGTCTCTAAATGAAAGACATTTTCCTAATAATGACAGAAGATACAAGTTAGGATGAATGACAGCAAAAGGCTTAGAAGCCAAAGATGTAAAATACCAAGATTGTAGATGAGGTAGTTTGCCCAACATTTTAACAATTTATTGTTCCTTTTATCTTCCCATATTTACAGAATCCTCTTTCTCTGCGATATCAAAGCCAAGATACTTCCTCCCCATCCCATCCTCACACACACTGGGAGAGATGGAAATGCTAATATTTATAAGCAGCACAGAACTTTCATGTTACTTCCACCATGGTTCAGTAGCTATGTAAAAAGTCTAGCAATAAACAAAAAGTGGTTGTGTGTCTTGTGTTATTGTTACAGTACAAGGGGTCAGGAATCATGCATGTGTGTTTTGGCATAGAGTCAAATCTACAGGACTGTTATGGAAAGTTTATTTTCACTGGCTGCTTACACAAGTGACTACAGGTGGCAGAGACCAACATGCTTGGATCAGCTTTTCTGCACTTCAGAAAAAGCGACCTGTAAAAGTATGAAAGCAGCACTCAATTAAAAACAAAAAAAAAGACAACAAAAAGGCTGCCTTTCACTGCAAGTGTAGTTGACTAAAGTGAGCACTATCAGAATGCTCCAAATGTGAAGTGGCCATTTCTTTCAAGAGCCTCTAACATATTAACACATTCTTGAATAAGGCTGGTAGAAATTGTCAAAGATTTCAACGAAGTGGAGTTATTTTACAGCACACTATCACCATGAAAGCAGTTAAAAAAACAACAAAACAAACACAAGAAAACAAAACAAAGCAAATCCACCATCACCTGAAAAACCAGCTTGGCTTTAAATAGAAAAAGAAGCTACCGTCTCTCATTTCCAATTGTGGTAATTCTCTTGTTTAGCTGATATAGCAATGAATTCAGGCATTTATAAAGGAGGAATACATGCAGTTTTAAGAAAGGATACTACAAAGCTCCAAATGTCAGAATTTGAATGATTTTATCATCCTCCTATCTTCAGAGTCAATGAAAACCTACTTACAGGATTATTTGCAAGTGCTTTAGCCAAGAAGACCAGTAAGAGTAACTCAACAAGAATGCCTGGCTAAAGAGTGACTTTCATTATCAAGTTCTGGGGGTGATAAAATTATTTTTGCATAATTATGTATTGCAGTCAGTCTCCCTTCCCTCCTCTTCAAAGGTCAGAGGAAGTACGATTTCTGGTTCGTCAAGGTAGACATCCTTCCAGAGACTACTGTATTAATAGGAAAGCAACTCATTAAGCTGTCAGGAAACAGGAATGAGTAGATGAGTCGTGTACTACTATGTGCTGGTTGTTACACTCAGTTGATTTGGAGGTTTTAGTAGCAAGACTTGATTTACCTCCAGTAAATTAAGTAATTTAATTCTTTAGAAGTAGACCCATAAAGCAGCTGTTAAAAACAAGGCTGCATTAATATTTTTTCTTGCTATAGAAAAAGAAGAGTAGCATCACACAACCTGGACTCTATCCTCAGCTTTAGAGTTCTGCCACGAACAGCCACCTGAAGATTTCAGAGCTAACTGTGCTACTGAAACAAATGGTGCAGGATATAATTTCTTAGAACAAATGATCTTACTGTACCCAGTCTTGAACCTTGTGGAAAGTTTGATCGGTTCCAGAAAGAGAATCATCCCCCAGAACACCAGGTGCTCAGCTTGTCATTTTCCACTGCTTGAGAGCCTGCTCCTGCTTCCCTTCTCTTCCCACTCACTCTCCTTTGCACAGTGCCCCCTCAGATCTTGCCTTCTTATCCCACACCTCTGAGCTGTCAGCAGCTACCCACCTTCCTGCTTGCCTAACACCTCGCTTGCCCTCATCTAACAATATCTGACACTCATCCTCAGCCTGTAATTTCTAGCTTGCTATTCCATATAAAACCATAACCTTCAATCTTGTTACCCTCCTCATGCTCATTTGGTTTTCTTTCCACTCATTAAAACTCCCACTCATTACAAAACAGACAGTCCCACAACCTAGTTTTTCTTAACCCTTTAACAACTATTTCATTCCCTGTAATTAACTCTTCATGCAACTGCTCTGCTCTCTTGTCTTCTGTGACCTACCTGGAAAGGCCCCCACTGCTCTTCGCAAACTCCTAAGTGCTCCAGTCTCTTCTCTCAACTATTTTGTCTCTGCTTTCCATAATAAAATGCATACCAGTATCCTCATTATGGATCTCTACTCTCTACCATGAGTCAACACCACTGAATGCACTGCAGAAATAGTCACCACAGCTTCTTCTGAAAGAATTGGCTTATTTTTCCCTCTACCTCAAGACGGCTGCCTCCTCCAACTCCATGGTACCAAATCCACTGTCTGCTCCTCACCTGTTAACTCAAGCCTCCTATTCTTGTACCAGACGGATGTTCCTGACTTTTTCAAAGACAAATCTTAAAAAAATCTGACAGGACTCCACCCTTTGATCATACCAAATGACCGTATCTTCCATTATCTCCACCAGCCTCTCCCAAACTCCTAAAAATTTCAGACCATACGTTTCTCCTTTTCCAGTGGACATTACAGCTTGATGCAGACATGCTGACCACACATCATTACCAAACCTCGGCCTGATATTCTCTTTTGATTAAAAATGTTATAAAGCTGCCAAGTGCCTTTACAGAATTCCTCATATTCTGTAAGAAACAATGCCAGAAGATGGGACTTTGTGCAAATAATTGCCCATTTAGAACAACTACGAATGCCACATTAGGCTGACTCAAGCTCCCAATAAACCCAACCTTCACGCACAGAAACATTACAGGATCACTGAGCTACATATTCCACTGCATCACATACTGGTTAATCATCAAAAACAGTGTGGAGAAGGCACAAAGTTTTCATGAAAGAACACAATCTTGTGCAGCCACGATTCACCTTCCACAAACAAATTTAATATGCATTCATATAAGTCCCCTTCTGTACTTTGAATTGAGCTAATTCAATTCAGGGCTTCCTGATTTTGTTTATTGCACTAGTATTAGATTCAAGTGTGAGGATGCATGCATGTAGTCTCTGTCACAGAGGCAAGGAAAAAGTGCCTTAACTCTAGAAGCCTGAAATCGAAGCTCTCAAGAATGAGAAAAGTATCATTATTTCTGATGTCCACATGAGTGCAAACACAGAGAGACAGGGACTTTCAAAGAATCTATGGGCTGAAACAACTGATGCATACAAACGTCCCTGTGCTACCTGTGACATGCAAAAGAACTTTCATACTCCACAGTTTTCCTGGGTTTAATTTTGAAGGCTACAGTGAAAGGAAAAAAAGCCTAGTATCAAGTTGGATTTGTACACAGAACATCTCCCAGCTCACTTCAGAAAAGCACCTGTGCTTCTTCAGCAGTTTCCAAGCCAGCAGGTATAACACAGGAAAGACAGATCAAAAAGACTGTGCTGACAACAATCCAAAATAATGCATTCTGCAGCCAGGGCGATGAGCCAGAAAGAGAAAGTAAACAGAGGCCTTCAAAGAGCAACATGGGGCTGGAACAAGAAAACATGTAGGCTGAATGGAAGTGGCTCCACCATGCAGGATTTTGATGGCATGACTCATGGCACAGCCATAAATTTCTGAGTTCCCACATTAAAGAGTTTTTTCCCCAACCTGAAAGAGTTTGTGGTCTAGGAATGGGACAGGGAGCCAAGTACTTGTGAATTCTCATTCTTTCTTCAATAAAGGCTACTCCATTACCTTCAAGTCCTGTGCCTTAATACCCCACTATCTATATCACAGAAGCACTGTGGAAACTAAGAAGGACAGGAAGATAGACACATATGAACTACGACAGCTATTACTTCATCTGTTATCAAGTGTTAATCTTTAGTGATGTGTAATATGCACATTTTTCCCCATGAATTAACTGAAATGCTGGGGTTTGAACCCCAAGCCCCAAATTAAGGTTGACATATGGGTGATTCCCACAGCCCTTCATAAAAAGGTGGTGAGTTTGCCTTATAGCTTCCCCCCAGGGTGCGGCCGGCCCTGCAGGGAGAGCCAGAAGGGAAATGAGCCCCAGGGGTCCCACATTGAGCTGACAAAGGTCAGGTGTCTGCTTGGGGATAAAAGCTGGGACCACTGGCAGGGAGTCAGGAGCGTCTGTCTGTGGAGTGCACTCCCCAGAGCTTCCTGGTTCAGGGCAGACCTCCTGACTCTCCCTGGAGCTGGGCCCTGGTCTGTTTAGGCCTTTGCAAATGCAGGCTGATTGGGTGAGAGTTGCCATGTGGGCACCTTTTTCTTATGTATCTTACTTGCTGGTTTGGCTGTTTCCCATACCAACTCTGGGAAACCTTGGTTCACTGTTTATACTACCTGTTGTGGGCCAAGTCACATCTTTTGTGGGATCGTTGGGGGTGGCGTCAATTATGTACCAGCTGGTTGACCTGTTTGTACCCCCGGCGGTCATTCATATCATAACGTTTGTGTCTACAATACAGTCTGTGTATTGTTTTCTCTTTTTGCTGGCTGTATCATTTTTGCTGGGCCTGGTCATTGGCAGAACAATTAACCCAAAATTATTAAAGCCAAGGAAAAGCTCATCATTACTTCTATGCTACGTCTCCACTCTCCAAAATGCATTTTGTGCAAGTATACTTTTCCATCCTTGAAAATGGCCAATAGTAGAAGTATGCACTTTTAAAGGTAAATAATTGCCCACTTTGTATTTTAAATAGCAATTACAAATTATTACTTATAATAAAAACCGTTTTAGGTTACATTTTTGAGGGCCCTGCTTACCATTAGCCACATTCCTCACCTGCTACAGGTTTAAGTAATGACTCAATATTCTTGAGCAGCTGAAGAGGCTGTTCACCAGTTGGAAGGCATGTCCATGAGCTTTCAGGATAGAGGAAATTCAAAGCAGATGATCTCTTAACAGTTAAAAGCCATTAAACGCATTAAAAATAAGTCTCTCTTACCTATTAGTATTCTACTCTTTGCAATGCCATTTTTCATCTCATCATTGATCAGGTCTGTAAGTCCCCGGCACATAGAATCAATACTTTCAATGTGTTCTGGACAGTCATTAGAGATCTTATACCTGTCAAACCACACAGTGGAAAGGGCTCCTTTCATAGGTGTATATGGCCTGGAGTGGTGGAAGGAAAGAAAACAAATGATTAACCAAGCATATGATCAAAATTCTTCAGCATACGTGAGAAATAAAAACAATTCAGTAGCTCTCCAGCAAAGGAGAGAAGGATCCTCTTTCAGGTCTAACTCACTATTGCATTTCCTTGCATTCAAAACATGGTTAGGAATGAAGGCAGCATTTGGAAGCTATGTAAAAATGCAAGTTTCAGTCAGTTCCGTGTCACAACTGATCAGGTCAGTTAAATGTTTAAAATCTTAACTCTTGTTGAGAGGTTCTTAATGCTAAATTAAGTTAGGGTTAAATCCACCTTGGAACACGACAAACTGAAGTAGCTGCTCAACAAGACAGCTTTGCAGGAGTTAACTTCACAGGATCTTTTGTCTTATTTTTGCCAAAATTGGCAGGAGAGGTACTATGAACCTCTAGTTACATACAAAGACTTCTCCCTTCAGTCAGTTTTTCTTTCTCTTAAGTAATACAGCTGTCGTCACCTTAATGACACAAGTATATTATAAAAATAACTGAAAGAAATGCCACGTGCTTATTGGATTGGTGCACAGACAATTTAGAGACAATACTCTTCCGTGACACAAGAGTGCCCAAACCTCCAAAGCTACATCAAGGAAGCTACAATTCCAAGCAGCTTTTTCCTTATTTTTAAATAAACAAGATGAATAGAGTCCTGAAATCCCAAGAAAGGTGATCTAATTCCCTTCTAATAACTCTACAGTTGCCTTGCAATGGCTCTACAGTTTAATAATACCAAAAACACTGCTATGAGATTGATGCTTCATTTCAAATCCAAGCCCCCTTAAATCCTTAGCTGCAATGTTTATCCAGGGGGCACATCTTTCCTTTCTACTTAAGCTCAAATGACCTCGGATCAGATTACAATCATTGCCTACGAACAGACAGCCCTTGATAAATTTGTCTGGATGGGAACCCACTGAAAACACTAACACTGACTCTGTGCTCTCTCTGGATGTTTTTCAGTACTAGGATTAAACAAAAACACAACTAAGCTACATCAAGAAAGCCACTATTTCAGTTATTCTTAACAAAGGAACAAATCCTGCCTTTATTAATACCAGAGAAGCCTCACATACGTAAATGGCTATTTCTAAACCAGCAATACTGCCACTAGTACGGGTGTGCAAGAGGCAGTACACTATTTCCATGACTAAGTCACACAAGTCAAAAATGAGAGAAGACAGAATTTCTTCTGCCTGGTGCCATAAACATGAAAGAAATGAAATAATAAAGCTGACGACTCAGAAGCTGGTAAGCCAAATATAAAGAAAGAGGCAACAAGCAGCATCAGATAGGTGGAGACAGAGAGACTACACTGTTTCATCTTTAAGCACAACTTCAGGAACAAGTACCTGGAAACTACTGTTATTCAATTGACCACAAGTATGTGGTCAAGTTTAGTACAGCGTGTGCCTCAAGTGGCCCCTCATTTCCTTAATTCAAAACAAACCATACAATTAAACACTAGAATTAACAAATAGGGTTTTTTTTCAAGTTAGCCCATACTTTATTAAAAAATGTAACTCCTACATTGTAAGAAATTCAATGGAAATACTTTGTACACCCAACAAGCTAAAGCCAAGTTTAAAAATCCTTATTAAAATGCCTTCTTTTGTTTGTTTGCTTGCTTGTTATTTAACTTCTTTGTACTTCCACTGTCTCCAGGATTCTTCCCAAATGTACTGATCAATACCCCCAAGAAACAAGATTACAAATCTCTAGCTCACAAAACTCAGTATTTAAGATGAGACATTTCAGTCAAAAACATCAACAGCAGAACCAGTGGGGTTTCTGGAAATCACTTGGATGATGTGATGTCCAGCAGACTAAGTACTTGGGAAAAAAGCATTTCTTTAATTCTTTTAGCTTCTCTCTCAAATACTTTTACATAAATCCTGGTTTAGCAGCCAGAGTGCTTCATTTTCTAGTAAAACTAGAGTACCTTATATTTGTGTGAGAAATTACGTGTAAGGTTTTAGTACTATTACAGCAGGTTGACCCAGGATGTCCATGGAATGAAGATATATATTTCTATTACATGATAGAAATTTACATCACAGAAATAATAAAACAGGTTTCCCCAAAACGGGAAGACAAAATCATCTGATTTATAAACAAGACAAAATCCACTATGAGATTATAATACTTGATCAGACATTAAAACTCAGGACGTGTACCTGCTGTATGCTACTGAAGAATTTGCAAAGACAAAGACCAATGTCTCTTACACCCACAGGAAAAGACCCCAAAGCAGACAAGATCCTTTCAGCTGTCTCAAAAATATTCTTGCAACCACTGATTTCTCAGAAATACATTAAAAATAACCTTTACATAAAGCCGAAAAATAAGATTCTTTAATGGTTCACCCAACTGGCACATCTGTTTTAGTCATTCACCTTGTTCCTTAAATAAATCCCTTTATTAGCTGGCACACAGCAACTCAGACATTACCACGGTAAACAAATATGTTTGGCACAGAACCATCTCTACAGCTCCAAGAATACAGCACAAAATTTTTTTCATACAATTAAACCTCAAAAGAAAAAAAGAAAATCCCTATGTTACTGTGACACAAGAGGCTGGCCTAAAATATACAAAACCAAAGTAGTACAGGGTGAAGTGAAAACTCCATCCGGTAAGATCAGCGTGGTCAATTAAGGACAGCCTCAGACCAAATGGTCAGCTTGAAGTTTGGATTTTTGCTTTCCCAAGTTTAATCAAAACTTGTAACATTAGTCTCTCTTTGAATCCTCTCTTTGGGTATACCCGGCTTCCAAACTTGTACCCACTGTTAAGAGACATTTGAAACAGTTTCCTACAAATTGAACTGTCAACATTTAAAAATAAAGAGAAAACAAGAGGTAGAGGAGACACTGCTAATACCAAAAAGCATTTAAAGACTGCAGGCACCTTGAGGAAAAGAATCTTTACGATGCTTCCCAATACCATGAAGTTTATTCGTTAACATGTTTTCTGATTACTTTACAGGTCTTATTTTTTAAGGATGTCCACTGATCTACAATTTTCTCACACATACATTTGCATGAGTGCATAACCAAACTCATGACAGGTTAGCTTCTGCTAATGTGAGTTATGTACTACCAAGGAAAATTTAATGAAAGCACGAAGCACTAACACCATCTTAATCCACCTTCCTGAAGCATGGATTTTATACTCTAGACCATCCTTAATGACATTTAGAATTGTGCTAAATAGTTCAAAATTATCTCAACAGAAGTAGAGAGCAACTGAATGATGCTACACAAGGTTCAAATTCAGATCAAAATACATGCCAAATTCTAGATCCAAAATTACGCTATTAGCATATCAATTAACATAAAATTACAGGTATTTCTAACTCAATAAGTCCCTGTCCAATTTTCTAAGTTAAAAGACAAGCTAGCACTGCTAGCTGCCTTAATAAGTAATGTAAGAGTGGCAGACAGCATGTTGGTAAACAGCAAATATTCTTCCCCCCAAGTCTTTTTTCTGTTGAACAGTTGTATCACTGCCCTCACACTCAGCACTATGATCACCCTGCTAATGCAGTCACATAAACCCCAGGTCACTGGTGCTGGCTTACAGCTCTCTTGAAGTTCCAGACAGAACTTCCTGAGATATCAGACAGAACTGGGAATTTATAGTGAACTTAGGCTTCAAGACTCAAATAAAGGAAGAGAAAAATCACAGGTTTTGAAATCTTCACTTTTGCTTCCTTCCCAAACTCGCCTCTTCTCAGTCAGGAGTCAAAGTTGCATCAGACATTGTAATATTGCCTTTTGGAACTGTGCATCCCTTCAAGAAAAACGGACAGAGCACACTGCCAGACTGCTCAAGTTCTACTTTACTCTGGCAAGACAACACCTGGTGTGCTGCATCCAGCTCCAGAGTCCTCAGCACAAGACATGTACCCACAAACCAGTCCAGAGGAGGGCCACAAAACCAGTGAGAGTGCTGGAGCACCTCTCCTGTGAAGACAGGCTGAGAGAGTTGGAGTTGTTGAGCCTGAAGAAGAGAAACCTCTGGGAAGACCTTATTGCAGCATTTCAGTACTTAAAAGGGGCTTATAAGAAAGATGGGGACAAACTTAGCAGGGCCCATTGTGATAGGACAAGTGGTAGTAGTTTTAAACTAAAAGAGGGGAGATTTAGACTAGATAAGGAAGAAATTTACAACGAGGGTGGTAAAACATGTAAGATGTTGGCAGATGCCCCATCCCTGGAAACATTCAAGGTTAAGATGGACAGGGCTCTGGGCAACCTGATATAGTTGGAGATGTTCCCGCTCACTGCAGGAGGGTTGGACTAGATGATATTTAAAGGTCCCTTCCAACCCAAAACATTCTGTGATTCTAGAAGCAAGTCTTGGATCTCTTCAAGCCAATGACAGGTTTTTCCAAAGAAAGCAAAATTACTGCACAGTTCTAAATTCCCTCCTAGCATAATCTCACAACTGATACTGGTACACTACAATAGAAAATCTAGTTCATAATTCTGCTTTTAATTCCTACAGTCTGCTTGAAGCAGGAGGTGAAGCTTAAAAGAAAAGGTGGGAAAGGCAAAGAATCCACCTATCCATATAAAATAGCATAAGATGGGCTAGAAATTCAAAAAGCTTAAACTTGGAAGTATATTTAATTTAAAAAAAAAAAAAAAAAAAGGGTCATCTGCAGGAGGAGTAATTTCAGCTGTTCCTCAGAACAGGTTGTGCCTGTTCACTCAACCACATGGAAACGCTTTTGATGGAATTGTTCTGGATGCATACTGCCTGAAACGAGAGCCCAGCTAGTACAGTGGTTACCTGAAGAAATACAATACTGACAGCCTTTGTTACTCAGGACAAATCTCATTCATTCAAGACAAAGGCAGCTGCAATACAAGCTGACATACCACATCAAATTCTAAACTTGCTTGTTTCTTTGTTTCTGTTTGTTGGTTTAGTTTGGGTCTGGGTTGTGTGGGGTT